CTTTATTTTTCATTCACGCATCCTCCTCGCCATCCGAATTGATATCAAAGTCCTCTTCTTCATCCAGTTGATCCTCTTCAGCAAGTTCCGGGTCGATCACTTGACCCACGAGCTCGTCCGCTTGCTTAAAAGTCTCTTCCACCCGCTTTCAATGTTCGATATATGACGTACAATCGTCCAGTGCAGCAATATAGGAGTGAGAAAGGGTAGTTATGTCACTCAGCCGGAAGTGAGTATTGTTTGTTTGAACAAACAACTTCAATTGAGCCCAAACCAATTCGATCGGGTTGAAGCAACAATGCTTCACGGGCAGACGTATGATGTCCAGAAAAGTCACTCCGTTATCGATAATAAAGAATTTTGTCTTACGAGAATTAGGGCGAAATGCAAACGTATGACATCATCAGCGGCTTCACTCAAGACAACTCTCCATCGCCCAGAACAGCCTTTCTTTTGCGGCGGTGGAGGCGTGGGAACTTCAATGGTCGTTGTAGCAGCGACGTGACTGGCCGACCAGGTCCGCTTCACTGTTCTGCTTCCGGTGGCCCATGGTGATACTGCAACAGGTGGTGAGACGGCGAGAGCGGATCGCGTTCGAAGACGAGGGGTAGTTGGTGGCTCTTCGCCGCGAGTGTCAATAGGTAATTCCACTGTCTTTTCTTGTTTCAGCTGATGAAGCTCGCTTCGAAGAGTTTTCACTGTTCTTTCGCCGATTCCAATTAGAGCCATGATGCGTCCTGTTGTACTTGTCAGAGGAATTTGTACTCCGTCTTTTTCCGAGTCTACGAACTGGATTACTCGATAAAACATCTTCTTTAAATCAACCGAGAACTCCTCTCCCCGTGGCATCTTGATTCAACAGGTGTTCACAGACGTTTTCATCAAAACCTTTTTTCTCAACAATCCAGATCCACTAAATACCTGCCAAACCTGTTGGTTGGAGATTCAACCAAACACAAAAACCTGTTGTAGGGGTCGATAACTCAAAATAAAGAGATTTTCATGAAAACTGAAGAGAAGAAGAGAAATGAAAAAAATCGGAGAAGTGTGAAACTTGCACCACGTGAAAGAGCATACTCGAAAACCTACAAAAATGCTTTTTCTTAAAGTTTATTTCACGCGAAACATATTGAGGTATGTCAAAAACTTGTTTTTCGGTCGTGTTGGCGGGAAAATCGGCGTTTTTTGTAGGAATATGATAAAAATGTCGGGCTTTCGTTAAAATGTAGACAAAGGTATGGGCTAGATGTCTACTGAATGAAATCAAAAAGTTCAAAACTCCAAAGTTCCTAAAACCCAAAGTCTTTGAAAGACCCTCTCAAAAACCTTGAAGATCCGACAAAAGTAAACTTATTGTTTCATGGGTATCGTAGTCCCATATTTCTCTTTCGAATGGTGAAAACCGCACCTCTCTATCTATCACCGTTCCGGAGCTATAAGGTCAACACTGACGGGGCTTACTATTTTGAAATGGATAGTAGAACCACCCGCGGCGCAGAGATATTTTTGTACCCTCACTAGATATTTAGATATTTCGAAATGTACCCCCACTAGATGTGCTTCTTAATTGCTTTGAAGTACCAATTACTTCCTTCATTAGTTAGCGCTAGAGCAAAGAAAAAAGTGCCAAAGACGAAAAGTTTGATGGTGTTTCTCGCAAATTAGGAGTAATGAAGTAATGGAGAATCCTTTTTAAGCCAATTTGCGGTACTTGATGAGCTCTTTCTAACGTAACCAAGAACACCTTCAAACGTTATAGTTAAAGCATTGGGTTGATTTCTTAGAATACAGAAAAACAGAATTCACCGAAAAGGTATGGACTTTTTCTAGAGAAAGCTATAGTAAATACATTCCAAAAGCATGCGCATTCCACATTAGATAACAAAAAGGTAATCACTTTTTATTTTATTGTAAGGCGCAAATAAAATAAACTTCATTGAATTCTTCATGTTTTGAAACCTATTTGAGCATATTAAAACGAAATTTGATTTAAAGCTACTTATATTATACCATAGTGCTAGAAAATGACACATTTATGCAGAAAAATGTCTTTAGAACGATTCTCCTGCCTTATTTATTTATTCATCATTTAATACATAAATGAATTCTAATAAAGCTTTCGTAATTCGTAGTAAATTACCAATATCAGCTGCTTTGAGTGAAAGACGTACATGCATAGTACATATCTATCGAAATAGTTATAATGTTGATAATGGTGAATTGGAGAATTTTGAGAATTATGAATAGAGAAAGGAATTTCGTGCTACACTTGATCGTCACGAATTATCAGATAAACTTAAACGTTTAAAAGTCTGTGACGTGACTGTTGAAGATCATGGAGATAAAGATGAGACCATAGGAGTATGGTGCTGGTATGACGCACGTTCATTGGATATCGTTGAATATGATTTAGAATGGCCAAATATATATAAAAATGAATATACAAAAATCATGGTAAGAATGCCATTACAATGTTATACATCAACTATCATGACTACCGGAATGTTTCTGAGTATTTTTGTTTTCAGCAATGTTTAGAAGAAAATGTAGTCGATCACCATCAAACATTATTAGCAGAAATTTATCACATTGGCAGTACAAGTATCGAGGGAATGTGCTCAAAACTTCATATTGATATTTTAATCTTAAAAGCAAATATTCGTGGGAATTTGGGTATAATTAAAGCTGATGATATACAAGTAGCACTTCAGAAACTTGGCTACAAAGAGGTTTACAACGGAACCAATGCCCGGGCCAATGCCTTATATATTAACGTAAGACTGATAGTTGTTTAGCAAAACGGAAATAAATAAAAAGAGTTTATAGACCAACAAGGATATGCTGCTATTAGAATATTGTGATTATATGAAGAGCTTTTTACACAGTGACTTTTTTGAATTAAACTTCCATGGAATTGCATATCACAAGTGCATTTATGACATCATCGTTTTCCTCCCATTTTCTCTTGGCTCTATTCAGTTGCTGCTTCTCCTCAGCTCTTATGAGAACAAGAAACTGGCGTCACCTACGCTCGTCGTCAATAAACGAATGTTTCTGTGGAAAATTTTGGGAAATTACCACTTTTGCAGTTTTCTCATTCTGATTATTTATTTCAAACTATTAACAAAAGGTACAACAGAGAGATGGTACATAAACAGAGCCTCATATCAAATTTTTTCTATAAATTAAAAGCTTCAAGAAAACTGTCATGAAATCGGAGTCAGAATCGACACGGTATATGGGACTCCGTACATTTCTAGTTTAGTCGCACCGTCGTCATATTTTTGCTGAAGAAAAACGTCTTTTAAAAAAGCCTTTTCTTTCTCTCTTACTTATTATTTTATTTAAAGTATTTTAGCATACTAGTGACGGACACTATGGGGAGTCATACACAAATTGGGGGTCACACTATGGGACGTCATAAAAAAATTGTAAAGGAATTATTCTGCATCTTGGTCACTACTACGGCTATGGTGGAAATGAGGAGACATATAAACGCCACTTTATTTTAATCCTCCTCGAAATCTATTCCTCGACTTAATGTACCTCGAATATATGTCCATAATTTGGGTTTAACTCTATAAGCATATTATCATAATCTGGACTTGCTTTAAATCTATTTATCAGTGATTCAGAACCATTTCTCAATGACATTGAACGAGCATCAAATGATGAAATCAAAAGCAGACGACGCATATGTTGACGAAACGCAAAACAAATAAGTAGAATTGGATAATATTGATTAATTGAGAGCGGCGATTACATTGCAATTATCTCTCGATGATTAACAAGTACGATTGTTTAATATCCAAATACAAGAATCAATAAATAGGCAACAACAAATCTTCTAAAATAACGTAACTGTTCTAAAATTTAATCGGTGAGCAAAGTAGACAAACTGAATTAGGTAATGATGAACTGTTGACTTGAACGTTAGAGCTGTTCTTTGACGATGAATACAGTAATAGTAAAAATCAACCAACTGCGCAATCTGATGAATATCAGCTATTAGCTCTCTCTCCCTTGCCTTGCAGTCTATGAAGAACTAGCAGAACGAACGGTAAAAATTAATCATATACCACATCTGCCGTTTTCATCGTGTTACATTACGAAAATGCCTTCAAATCCAGGTTGGAATCTTGTTCCCAAGTTTTTTCTTTCTTGATGACTGAGAATCTCAGATTATTGATCTCTTTACTCCAGAAAAACGTCTGGTTTTCGTTGCTTATTGTTTCTTTTGAACACTGAGCACGCGCTCCATACTCCGAAAGCGGTTTTATCAGAGTAGTATTAAATTAGTTTTGTCAAAATCTTGATCATGTTTACAAAAATAGCTTAAGTTTTATCATATCACCTATTTTTCCTCTCTGAGAAAGTCCTAGAAAGACGTCATCTAGGTAGTTTCCATGTTCTTCGAACAGCAAATTTTTACAAAGATATTTTTATCTTAAAAATATTTTAAGCAAAAATTCGTCTATATCATGAACTACAATATTCCCACTGTACTAGTATTTTATTTATGAAAAGTATGCGTCGTTGATATAGGCTTATGCAAACCATGTTCGACAGTCAGTCGACAACAGAGACCAAATATGCTCGAAGACGAGTGTTCGATATACGCACCTGGCTCTGCAACGGCGAGTTGCGGTTGATTTATATTTTGTACTCTATCATCGCTTCGCCATGCGACTTTGACTGAAAATATATATCATCTTCTAATAGTTCTTGTATGAGAAACTGGATTAATTAGTTTTAAATAAAACGGATTTATCCTCTAGGTTCAGCCTATAAAAAGATGCTCGTGAAAGGCAGAAACTAGCTTGACAATAACTTTTTTGAAATGAAAAAGAGTGAGCATGGCAGAATTTAGGCCTGTGAAAATGAATTTGATATTATATTACACTATTATTCATCCCAGAATATAATACAGGTTTCCATTTTTTGAATAACTCAGAGATAAATGAAGAGGGAAAACAACCGGAAAAGACTAATTTTTGTAACACTTAGGTTTCGCTAGCGTCTAAAATTTTTTTCTAAAAGCAGACACTGTCACGTGGCACCTCAGCATAGTGGATAGCCTATGTTTTCATGCTTTTCCGATAGTGCCAAACCTATTGGTCAAGGAGTCCTAGCCCTTCGGGAAATATGTTCGTAGCACCTCAACCATGGTTTTTGAAGAGGTCGTATAGTTTCAGTTTTGTAGAGGAGACTTTGGACTGGCTACCTATGCAAAAAAGTCAATAGGTTGCTATTTGAATTTGAGAAAATCTACGCTAGTTTTCCAAAGATCTTCTGGAAAACGACTTTCAGAAATTTTTCCGAAGACTGATTTTGCTTGTAAGAAGATAGGTTCAGATGGCTAGTTTTTCAAACCTGAAAACCACAGGCCTTTGTCTTCATTTGCCTCTGAGTTATTGAAAAAATGGCAACTTGCATTCTATTCTGAAATGGATAATAATACTACAGGTGATATACATCGTATTACACACTCATTCTTTTCTTCCATTTCACCAACATTCTATATAATAGCATACCAAAAAAGAAAAAATATAAAATTATAAATGACCAAATACTAGAAATGGCAGATTCAGAGAATTTACGACGTAGTCGCCGAATAGCTATACGACCATTGATCAATTATTCTATCCACGAAGAGTTCAGAGAAGAATATACCGTTCTTTTATTTTTTCTTTTTGTTTTAAAAGTAAAGTTTACATCATAGCAACGCAACAAGATGACTATATTAAAGAACAGGACAAAAGGTTATTTTATGCTGAGTGAACATGAAAGGTATTCGAAATCTATAATATTAGAATTGTTGATTTACTTGAATATTAGAAGAAAGACCGCAAACAGTTGATCGTTGATGCCGCACGTCAAGATAATCTTGATTTGTCCTCCTCATTCGAAGCGGTGTATCGTAGTACACAGAAGAATAAAGCATCATCTTTCGTCGAAATATTCTCTTTCTGAAAAGATTTGCTATAATTGCAAAGATAAAACGTGTTCAGAATTTTCTGAAGATAGATATCTGAATCTGTTACTTTGTCCGATAGCTGATTAATCAACTACGTAATCCTTTCATTGTCGAGACATATTTTAAAAAGGGCTCTCCTCAGCTTTTGTTGTGTATCTAATACATACCCGTTTCATTAGTAATTCGTGATAATTTCTCCACAGAATATCATAGTTTTTGACATTTGAAAGTCCAACCTTGAGAGCATCTGTTCATACGCAAAGTCAATTCAAAAATCCTATTCGAAAGTAGAATTTTTAGAAAATTTTTGGAAAACCAGTTTTTTTTATCATTTTTTCTAAACGACACAACATGCTAAGGACAGGAACACCTTCTGCCGTTCAGCGCTTCTGGCAAACTGTTTTCTTCAAATTAACGTTGCACAGTTCTATGAACGTCTTCTTTCGAAAATCACAAGGGAAACAAAATAACAAAATATAAAAGAACTAGTACTGAATTACATTACGGTACCAAAGTCACACGGGTAAGCCGAAAAGGTTCCATCTCCAGATGCAACAAAAAATGTTAATAGACGTTTTATTGTTTTTTTTCTGTGCCATCTAGCGCTTCTGGCGTTAATACCGGATATTGGTAAGCAGGTGGTGGGGTTGATGGCGGTGTTAACGAATGACTGTATGGTGGCATAAAGTAGGCTTGTTCTTGCCCATTCATCCTCTGTGGATATACATTAGCAGGTTGACATTGAACAATCGTATGCGAATGATCATAGATAGCATCGGCGGGTGTGTGAGGAACAACACACAACAATGGTTGTTGTTTTATGATTGACTTTGGATCTATGCCTATGAGAAAGAAACGATTATAAAGAGAGCTCTTTTAACCGTTTCGTATGGTGCATTTAGTTGACTAAGCAAACTTCACTGGTTTTATTTTATTTTGAATTCTTGAACAGAACTGATACCAGTTCCCGTTCTTTTGAAAAAAAACGTTCAGTAGTTTTTGTTCTTCGGAACAGAATGGCTAACCAGTTCTTTCCACCTCTCTTCATGAACTTTAGGAACCGCCTTTTTTCTCTGCCGCTGATTTTCCATCAACAAAAGTTGAAGTTTCATCAAAACTAATCGAGGAATTTTTCGACTTTCGGATCAATTCAAGTCAATTCTAGTTTGATTCAACATATTCTGGCTCGATTCATCTTTGGTACATCAGTCAACTCATACTTATGTGTGTTCTGACTATCGAAGACACTTACCTCGTGCCTTTATTTCTCTTGCTTCCTGACATATAGCACATTCCGAACACCAGCATGTGACACAACAATCTTCACAGCCATCACCAGCAATATTATATTGTTGTCGCAATGTTCTCCGTTTTTCCATATGAACAAAACAATGTACGCCAAGCTGAACCATCCAAAAATAGATACATCCTTGTCCGAAACAACTAGAACCATCAATTTTTTCAGCATTTTCCCCATACAAACAACAGGGGCACCACATGCCATAACAACAAATACCCATATTATCAAAACAACCACATAATGAGGCTGCAAGATGAAAAAAATCCGAAAATTAAGTATCGATAGCGACAAAGAGAAAAATTGATCAGACACGTCGCTGCTGTTGAATTTTAACTTTCTCTCAGAAAATTTAACCTTAAGGAGGTTCTGCCCAGAGTCGTAACCGGATCGGCCGATTGACGAGTAACCGATCCGATTCGATTACATTTTTCAATCGGCCGATACTCACCGATTTATCTTTTGAAAAAAAATTTGAGAAAACCACATTCTCATAGCGCCCCGGTCGCGTTTTCTCATCATTCAATTGCACGGTGAAATGATTTGATAAGTAAAAGTTGTAGAAAAATTTTTTTTCTGGATCGAACGAAGTGTTTACTCTTCAGGTGCTCGACTTTTGAAGTCAGCACACTTCGAGACTTCACTGTGACAGATGTCTTCTTTTTTTCGGTCAGCATTGATACTGAACTTTTGTTTTTCTGTAAATGAAAAACGATACATTTTCTCTTGCTAATAAACAACAACAGATGTGTTCTTTTTTTATTTCTAAAATTTTCAGAAAGTATTCTAAGTAAAAGTGCTAATTGCAATTTACCTTTCTCTTCACAAACCGCAAAAGCTTCGAACAATCACCGATTTTTTACCGATCCGATTCCAGTTTTTTCAATCGATTACAATTCTGTTTCTCTCCACTCGGTTTTTCCCACCAGTTTGTAAAGGACACTTCGGAGTATGTGTCTGTTCCCGGATTAGTGCATTTGAAGCTTTTTTTCGGTTTCCTGCCTCACTTTTAAAATTTCAATAAAAACTTCAGCTTTTAATATGAAGAGTTGATTCTAGCTTAGTCCGACAGAGAACATTAATTTGTATAAAGAGAAACGCTTTACATTGTTCCCGAATGAAGTTTGACGCAGAAACTTAACGTTCGCCTTCTCGATGGAGTTTTAGAGCTAAAAGTATTTTTCACCTTACCTTACGGCTAGTTTCCTTCGACGCAAGCATTTTGAAGCAAAACTCTGAATACAATTGTTTGTTCAGAATCGAATTCTGCAATTCCTAACGAGAGATCTTTTAAAATTGTCCGTTTCTGATTTTTAAATTAAATTTTACGCTTTTTAAAGTTTTAAAATTTCGATAAAGGACGGGGTCGATTATTTGATGGAATCGGCCCCTGCTTGAATTCCATCAACACATACATGGTTAGATACAGAATGAACACCAGAACATTTCTAGCCGCTCGACAGACCTTAGAAATGCTCTCAGAAAAAATTGGGTCCAATTAACTGTAATCACTCCTGACACATATTACTTGAAATTCTCTATAAAGTGAGCTAGTCAAAATATTCAGACAGGTCGGGCCAGCCATTAAAGATATGGAAAAAGAAGCTTTTGGGTGCTATCTAAACACTACAGTGTGTCATAATTACAAGAACTCCCTTGTTTTTGACCTTTTAGTAAAAGCTGGAACCAATCTGAATAATGTTTCGAATAGCCCGAAGATTTTTCTATCAGATTAGGTGCATATCGGCCTTTCATAAGGAAAGGTGATAATAGAGCTTCTGGAAAACCTGACCACTGGAAAACCAAGTCCTTAGTTTTTAGTGAGAAAATTTTGCAAACCATATAGCGTGATAATGCGAAACATTCTGAGCAAAATAAGACTTCTCCGGGCATTCTATTGGAAATATTCACCGGAATATTTTGGTATCTTTCACGCCCCTTGGGCTAGTGGTAAATCGACTGCAGTTGCGTGAAAAAGCACTATCGATTGGTATATCTATCGTAGTGGCTAGATGGGAAGCGTTGAGCATAGGATCCTCATCGTGGAATAAGCCACCCACTTTTCACGGCTTTACAGAAAGTATTTCTAATGTCAAGATGCCCTAGGACACTTTTGTCACTATGTTACATAGGTGAAATGGTAGTGCAGGGAATTCTCTATCGAATGGTATATCTATCGTAGCGGCTAGTTGAGAAACATTGATCATAGGATCCCCACCCTGGAATAAGTCACCCGCTTTTCACGGCTTTGCAGAAAGTATTTCGAATGTCAACGGATCCTAGGACACTTTTTTCACTATCATATATGTATGAACTTGTAGCGTGAGGAATTCTCTATCGATTGGTATATCTATCGTAGTGGCTAGATGATAAAGGATGTCATAGATTATCTTAGACTGTTTGCACATAGTAGATTATTTTCCATAGACGGAAGTATTTCTAAACTTACTTGGCCTCAGAACGACTATTTCCGTAAATATGATATACAGAAATATAGCGTAGAAAAAGAGCTTTCAAAAGACATATGATAGTTCTACTGAGGTATGAGATCGAGAGAGACCCACTCGAGAATATGATCAGTAATATGTGTCAGAAGTGATTACAGTTAATTGGACCCAATTTTTTCTGAGAGCATTTCTAAGGTCTGTCGAGCGGCTAGAAATGTTCTGGTGTTCATTCTGTATCTAACCATGTATGTGTTGATGGAATTCAAGCAGGGGCCGATTCCATCAAATAATCCACCCCGTTCTTTCGATAAATAAAAACAATTTTAAAAAACCTCTCGTTAGGAATTGCAAAATCGTTTGTGAACAACTTTTGTATCCAGAGTTTTTCTTCAAAATGCTTTCTTCCAATGAAACTAGCCGTAAGGTGAGGTGAAAAAATCGTCTGGTTTGCTAGATTTTTACTCGATTGCAGCTACCGTGTAACGACAATGGAAATCTAGTAATTGGGCGATTACTAGATATTTTCTAGCTGCAACTATCGATTTATCGCCCGAATCGATCGATTTAACTATTACTGGATGCATCTGTAGACGCATCTAGTTAAAAGTCCCCTTTCCGACTAGTAATTTAGATGGCAACTAGTCGTATATCGCCCGATTACAGACGGAATGTATCTCCATTTTTCCATAGGTGATATTTGCTCGGGTACTTCGAAGTATACGTTTTAAAATTTTCTCGGCTTATTGACATTATTTGACTGAAAAAAAAATTAATTACTGAAAAAAATATTATTATTTTTTCTACTTAGCAGGCTTACGAGCAGGCAAAAATGCGTTCTAAAATTTTCAGTGTAGTCAGTCCATCTTTTAGCCCATGAAATTCTCTATCGGATGAGATGTTGCTTGAATTTTTTCGTGTAATGGTTATTTCACAAATGGGACTTTAAGCTAACAGAGTAGGCTAAATTAACGTTATTAGTAATAATTAGTTAATAACAGAAAGGAAAGAACAAAATTTTTTACATATTTTCTCGTAGTAAATATTCTCCACATATTTTTCTATCGATGTAGGCAAGAATCAAGTTTTTATGATGAACCGCTTCGAATGTAGGAAATTTTGTAATAATAGCCCAGTGCTCAAAAATTTAACAACAACTTTTTAAGTAATTAACCTTTTTCTCAGCCAGATAATGTCAGTAAGCCGAAAAACTTCCAAATATATTCTTTGAAGTATTTTCTACGAACTGGGAACGTTAGAGGAACATCTAAATGGAGGTCGCCCCTTAAGCCGCACAGCTTCGATTAAAAAGAAGGTACGTATATTTCCCTAATAATGTCTGTCAACGCGAGAAATATCATGGTGTCTGTATATAAACGGATAATGATTGACACATCTCGTGGTAGCCTAATTGGTTTTAAAAAGATATTGTTTAGATAGTCTGTATCATGTCGTTTCTCGATAAGCAGATTTCTAAATCGTGTTGTTTTTCCTTCTGAAAGCAAACCTTAAGTCCCTTGTTACCCAGGTATAGTTTTCATAGAATTATCAACTCAATCTAATAAAAACAATGTTCGATATTATGTAGCCAAACAGTAAAAAACAAATCCAAATCTCAACAATTACTTTTCAAAATTGGTCATAAAAGGTAACCAGGACGTAGAATGACATAGAAACGTTGGATTCTCGTACTATAATCAAAAGATTTAATCACATTACCTTCCCACTCTCGCTGCTCCGGTCGATTCATATTCACTAATTGATGTGTGTATGTAAGTTATGGACACGTGGAACCAAAATACTGTGAAAAAGACTGACTAATGATACAAAAACGATAATATTGAGTAAATCAATCACTACTTTACAACTTGAAAAAAACCTTTCTTTTTCTTCTGCATGTGCCTTTGTGATATTTTTGTTAGTCCGTAATTTATTTTTTTTCTTTTTGTTAAAACACATCCTCTTATACTAGGCGCTAACATCATTTTTTTCACACTAGAACATAAAAAGATATTCTTGTTCTGTACGTGTATGTGCCTAAGACAAAAAATAATAATAAGTCTAAACTCTTCAGCTACATAGTAGTACAGAGTAAGCGGAAAATAGGAGAATGAAAAGAGAAAAACTCATCCTTACTCTTTATCTACATACTAGAGTAACATAGATTTGACTATGATGAAATTTGATGAGAAATACTTGAAAAGCACTATCAGTCTATCAATGCTTTTACAAAAAGTACAGAGATTTCGCATTTGTCAATACCAGTTAGATGACAGTTATCTGTATCGCATATGTATCGGTGCTAAAAGCTAATACATCACAGAAATCCGATGTGTTTGACGATCGAAAAGAGAAATCTATTCTTATGCCCTTCCTGTATGATATCATACGTTTCTTCTTGTCGTGGGGTACTGATAAAAAACATGACACGACTCTTCCACGAATTTTTCATATTTTAAATTTAGTGTGTGATGGGCATTGAGAGGTGATGGGAGCAGTGTAGTTTCACACAGAAGATATCTGCATGACATAGTGTGAATTTGCTTTAGTTTTTCAAGTACTTATTTGCTATGTCAGTATTTCAAGATGAAGCTATATTAAAGTTTCTTTAAAGAATAGGTTCAGTATATAATACCCGTTGTTTTGTTAGCTTTTTAAAGTTTAGTTTTCGCAACATCTGTTTACAAAAATTCGCGGAAGATTTGGTGAATTTTATCAAATATCTCTTTCTGCAAGGCTTCTAAGAAACTTGCTCGAAAATCGCGAAAAAACAGTTCTAGACAGAGCTGTCTAGAACAGCTGTCGTTCAGCTGCAGTAATTGTTGAGATTTGGAATATTTTGAGAGACAGAGCTTTTAGCACCGATACATATGCGTTGCAGATAAGTGACATCTAACTGCACAAGCAGTTCAAGAAAATGCTGCACTCTTGCAAATACTTTAAGAAAAAGTTTAGCAACTAGTGTACGTTTTTGTTTACTTATTTTGTACACTGGCGGCCCAAACTCGACATCCCTTTTACGTTTTGTAGCACAAAGGAGACCTTTTTTGTCAAAAAATGATAAGCTAACCGGTGCCGATCATAAATGATAAACGATTTTATTTTTGCTCTACCTATGTGTCTAGTAGTAAATTAGACTCTATAGAACTGTATAGTGACAGTGAGCACAAAATGCTTAGCACGTCAATTCACCTACAATTTTAGACGACTAAAAAAAAGCTGTAAATTAATGAGAGAAAATAGCATTTGAAAAAAGTCGATCAGTGTTTGAATGTTTAGTTCGAACAGGTCCGACTCGGGTAGTGTCAGAGTAAAACACTGTTTGAGTAAAACAGTGTCCGAATCAAGTCCGAATGGAACATGCTTGAGTCAAACATCGGACATTTGTCTGGTCCGTCGTATACCTATCAGTGATGCTGTCGAACAAAATCTAGGTAATAAAAAAATTTCTTCGCTTAAAATCCGGGTTTTTTGCCCTATTTTTATAATTGCAATAAAAACTTCATTTTTTGATATGAAGCGTTGATTCTAGCATAGTTCGATAGAGAACATTAATTTGTATAAGGAGAAAAACTTTACATCGTTCCCAAATGAAGTTTGACGGAGAAATTTAACTTTCACCTTCCCGAGGAAATTTTAGG